TCTGTTAATTGGTTCCCCTTTTCTTTGTTGAACAGGATCTGTGCAGTCTTTCTGCCTGTTCCACCATTTTACCAGAACTTGCTTCATTAACATAATTTCTAATCCTGCCTCATTAACATCATAAAGGTTAGGATTTACAACATGTAGAATAATTACATCATATCACAAAATAAAAGTAATTATATAATACTAAAATCATGGCCTACTCAAGTTAACATGTATTTCTGGGGGACACAGTTTAAATCATGACAGTCACCATCCCAGGAAAGCCTTCCCTGAACTCCCAGGTGGGCCTCATGCCTCCATGCTCTGGGCTTCTCTAGTACCTGGTGCATTTCTTTGCCTCCTTGACTATGTAGTGGTCCCATAGACTCTGAGTCTTTAAGGGCAGGGAACAAGTATCCCCATTCATCTCCCTCTGTCAGCCCTAAGGCAATGCCTGGCATATTCAGCTGCCTAGGAAATAATCCTCATAGTGATGACAAATTCATTCATCCTCAGGACCTCCCACAACAATGGCATGAGGGCAGCAGTCTGACCTCTAATGTTACAAGGGACGAGGAGGATCAAGAGCAACAGTTCAGGCTGATTCCTATGACGCAGAAGTCAGACATGCCTCCACCCTGCAACCTTTACCAATCTGACACCAACCATTCCTCCCATGGCACTCTCTACTTCTCTGCTGGGTTTGATAATCTATTGCAATGGCCACACAGAACTCACAGACAATACTCATGATTATGGGGCTTATTAGGGAAATAACAGGTTATAATTCAGGATCACGAATGTTGAAGATACAGTTGTGTAGGATTAGCACAGCCTCTCCTCAGTCATGCCTAAAGATAGATCTCTCTCTGGCCCTTGGCCTGGCCTCTGCCCTGCTTGGGCAAGTGTTATAAAGCTCTTAATTTAGCTCTGCTGATAAATGCCTAGAGGCATCTCACTTGCCAGTAAGCCTTGGCCTTGAGTCACTGGCTTTTTCACTCCGTGAACTAGCCGGGAAGCCCATTGTTCTGTCTTCTGTCAGTTTCTTGGTCCTGCTGCCACTGTTTCTCTGCTGCCACTTCTCATCATTTCTGGTGTTGCAATTCTTTGTTTCATGGATCGAAGTTCAGCGCAGGGATTTCGGGTCCAGAGAATGCATTCCACTTCTGGCTCTTCTCTCTTGTTGGTAGTGAGATCGCCTCTTTCTGCCTCTGGGATGGCTCATTTTAAGCCTCCTGTGATGACAAAACTGACCAATCCCCATGCTAGGGTCCCATATACCTTATTTGCATGATCTCACCATTCCCTGGAGAAGGACATCATGCTTGATAAAGTGGAGGGTCAGCGAGAAAGGAGAAGACCCTCAAGGAGATGGAATGACACAGTGGCTGCAACGATGGGCTTAAGTATAGCAAGGATTGTGAGGTGGGCACAGGACCAGGCAGTGTTTTATTCTGTTGTACATAGGGTCACTGTGAGTCAGAGCCAACTCCACAGCATCTAACAACACCCACACTAGGGTGCTGTGCTCCTTATTTACATTCTTAGCACACTATCTAATCCCCTTGGTGGGCCACAACACCTCACATTTACATAGTCCCATCCCATCATTTGGTGGGAGTTAACAAAGACTATGGCTAGAAGGGCCATGTAAGTAATTAACTGCACCACACCTCCCTACAAGGTTGGTACCATTTTCACTCTAATTTAGAGAGCTGAGATTCAGAGAGGTAAGTAACTTGGTCAAAGTCATAGCAAGTAAAGGCACAGCCAGAATTTGAACATAGCTATGTCTTTTAACCATGACACTAAACTCCCTGCAATGATTAGTAAGTTGGCCTGAGCTAACCTCCATTTTTCTCACTGCAAAGCGAAAATTGCCACTAAGGCCAATCCATTGGATGGGAAGTCGCTGAAGGCTGACAGTCTCCGGTCCCAGCTGGAGACGTCACTGAAGCGGCTGCAGTGCACCCAGGTGGACCTCTTCTACCTACATGCGCCCGACCACAGCACCCCCATAGAGGAAACACTTCGCGCCTGCCACCAGCTGCACCAGGAGGTGAGGGTGGCCACCTGAGCTCCAGGAAGTGTCTGCTGCTCTTTCCTTTGGCTTGTCAGTACCCAGGAGAGTGGCAGCACCAAGGCAGTCCCAGGGGAGCTGGGCACAGACCCCATGCCCAGGGTCCCCACTGGCTCGCCCCTTCCTCCTGGGCTGTGGTGGCTTCTGACCGCGGCCTCTCTCCTGCAGGGCAAGTTTGTGGAGCTTGGTCTCTCCAACTATGCGTCCTGGGAGGTGGCTGAGATCTGTACCCTCTGCAAGAGCCACGGCTGGATCCTGCCGACAGTGTACCAGGTGAGAGCAGGGCCCAGAGGTCTTATCTCCAGGGGTTCTCTTGGCCCCTCTGAATGACCCAGGGACCTCTGTATAGCAGCCCCTCCCTTGCTTAAGTCTGTGGAGGCTCGTGTGGCCCTCAGGTTAAAGTCTGAGCTCCTCAGCGGCAGACAGGCACCTGCGTGCTCCAGCGCCACCTCCCTTTCCTGCCTCAGTGCTCACCTGGGTCCCCTCCTTCCCATCTCCTGTTGCACTTCAGCCTGGAGCACTGTAATGCCCCAGGTCTCACCTGGATGGCTTGGCCTCTGGGAAGCCTTTCCTGAGAGTCCCAGAGGGGGCTGAGGTCGCACACTCTCCTTTACCTCCTCATTGTTCACTCAGGAAATGTTTGTACACCTGCTTGGTACCAGGCCCTGTAACAGAACTGCCTGCCACCACAGTGTGACAAACTGACAGATGAGTGGTGTTTACTTGATGATACTTGACTGTACCCTGACTATGAAATCTTTCAGGACAGATTTTAGCTCCAAAAGGATGCTACTGCTCCCAATCATGGGAGAATAGAGGGGCTGTGTATGCACAGAGAGACAGCTGGGGGGGGGAGCGTGGGTGGGGACAGGAGTGCATGGAGGGAAGGACACAGGGAAGAGATAACTATGGGGAGGAAGTAGGAGGGGAGCTGTTGCATTGTGGGAAATTGCTGTCAATGTCATGAGACAAACTGTATGTGAGCTGCTGTATGGAAAGTGAATTTGCTATGTAAACTTTCACCCAAATCACAATTAAAAAAAAAAGGGGGGGGGGAGGATGCTAAAAGCTCATGTATGTAAACCCTGTGTCCAGCCCAGAGTTGGACTCATAAATGGTGGAATGATCAATCCAAGCCCAATTTTCCTTGGGCACACACTGCCCCTAGCACACACTAAGTGTATGCCCCATGGTTAAGGTCCTAGGAGGATCTGAAAGGTAGAGCTGGGGTCCGTCTCTTGATTTGTCCATCCTCTTCAGCTGTCCCTTCTACCTGCAGGGCATGTACAACGCCACCACACGACAAGTGGAAACAGAACTCTTTCCCTGCCTCAGGCACTTTGGACTGAGGTTCTATGCCTTCAACCCTTTGGCTGGTATGGCTGCTGTGGGATAGTGTCACCTCCTGGAGTGGGAGGGCATTCCTGACCCCATTTCTGCCTGTTCCTGACCCAGTGGGTGCCTAGCCAGGACCTGGGGAACAAGGAGGGGTTTGACAAGAGGCTGGGCCATGTCCTCTATCCCTCCTGTTCCCCCACCATCCCCTAGCCCAGAGCCACCAGGCATCTTCAGCTTCTCTGGGAGCAGTCTGGCCAGGGGACTGATTGTATCTTTCCTGCAGGGGGCCTGTTGACAGGCAAATACAAGTATGAGGATAAGGATGGGAAACAGCCTGTGGGCCGCTTCTTTGGGACTAAATGGGCAGAGATCTACAGGAATCGGTGAGCTGGGGAGAGGCTGTGACAGGGTGTGAGCTGGTGTGGGTCCTCTTTGTCTGAAATCAGGAGCTTCTGGGGCTACTCTCCTGGCAGCCAGGGCCTTCTCCTGTTGTCACAACAAGGCCCTGGGATTTAATGCGTCCCCATGCCCTGTCTTGGCTCTCCTGTGTGTCTGCAGGCCTGGACTGGGAATGAGGATCCTGTGTCCTTGAGGGTGAGCTCATCCTCTGCCCACAGAGGAGGAACCTTGGATTGGGACTTGGGAAACCTGGGGCTTAGTCCATGAATAGCTGACTCATGAATAGCTGACTGTTGCTCTGGGCAAAATGAGTGTAGTTTTGTGCACGCTCAGCAATAAACTTGTCATCGACATCTAAAGTCACAGTGGAGCAGCTGTTGAGACCTGCCTTCTTCCTTTCCTTTTTTCACTCTTTAAATTTTGTAAAATTTATCAAAGTAATACATGCCCATGGTTAAGAGCAAGCCCTTTTCAGCCCCATTCCTCTGAGGCAACCATTTTAAACTCTTTTCCCTCTAGCACTTACTGTGATGTCTCTGGAAAAACCCAAACCAAAAAACCCAAACCATTGTCTTCCAGTCGATTTGACTCATAGTGACCCCAACTGGGTTTCCAAGGTGGTAAATCTACAGAAGTAGATCATCTCATCTTTCTGTGGAGCAGCTGGTGGGTTTGAACTGCTGATATTCTGCTTAGCAGCCATATGCCTTATCCACTACCCACCAGAGCTCCTTGGTGTCGCTGAAGTAGATGCTTTTATTGCTCTTAATTGACCACAGTTAGACCTCACCTGGGTAATGTTGTGGGGAGCTCCTAAAAAGCTCTTGACACAGAATCAGAGTCATTAAGGTAAATTCTGTATGTTTTATCTCCTTGCTTTTTGTTTTCTGTTTGGAAGGAGGCAGAAGGCAAGCTTTGTGCAAGAGGTTGCAGTGGTAGTTTGTTGAAATGACTCACCAAGAACTTCTTCAGCTGTGGAGCATCTACTCTTTGGGCTCACTTTGTGTGCATGCTGTGATTTAAATCCTTACCTGGCACACCCAAGTGTTCTGATAATTGTGGCCAGGTTTTAGAACCACCGCCCAAAGCAGTGCTTCTCAAGGAGCATTCTGCTGCCCCCACCCTGGGCCCAGGATGCCTCTGGTTTTCACCGTGTCTGCTCTTCAGTTTACAAAGCCTGTCCAGGCCCATTATCTCCTTACACCTTGCATTCACTTTCTGGGGCTGGCACGGGGTGACGACTTCCCTCATTAAGGAGATGAAACAGTGAGGGCAGGTGGCTCAGCCAAGGCCACAGAGCCAGGGCCTGAGCCCAGGGCATATCAGAGGGTCTGTTCTGTGAGTGTTCTGTGACCCAGAGCCTGATTTAGGCTCCGTAGTGCTGCTAACAACTAATGAGCACGTTAAACCTGAGGAATCTTGCCAATTCCACCATCCTGTTTCCAACTTCAGGAAGTAGTCTGATGCGAGGTCCAGAAATGTACATGTGTTCCGATGCTCAGTGATGTAACATGAAGACAATGGCTTCTTCAGTGCTATTGAAGAAGGGGTTGGGGTGGGAGTGGCTGTCCAGGTTGGCCACCTCAGTGTCTCCCATGGTACTGCTTTTGTCCCACCCTCCCCACCTGTCCAGCTACTGGAAGGAGCACTACTTCGAGGCCATTGCCCTGGTGGAGAATGCCCTGCAGGCTGCTTATGGCCCCAGTGCCCCCAGCATGACCTCAGCTGCCCTGCGGTGGATGTATCACCACTCCCAGCTCCAGGTAAGCCAGCAGTCTCCCACATATTTAACTTCTGGAGGAAGAGAGGAGAGGGCTACACAGTTATTTGATGATTTCTAAGTTTACTTTTCTGAAATTTCCCATGATCCATTTCTTTGGTGTGGTAATCCTGTGGTTCTTAGGTAAGTTACTTAAAAGCCGAGTTACAGACACTGTTTCTTACAATGGCCCTATTAAGTATGATAAGAGGGCAGTGGTGGTTCAGTGGTAGAACTGCCGCCTTCCACGTGGGAGGCCTAGGTTTGGTTCCTGGCCATGCAGCCTCATGCACAGCCACCACCCGTCTGTCGGTGGAGGTTTTCAGCAGAGCTTCCAGACTAAGATGGACCAGGAAGAAAGGCCTGTGATCTCCTTCCAAAAATCAGCCCATGGAAACCCTGTGGTACAAAGGTCCAATCTTCAACCAATCATAGGAATGGCCCAGGACCAGACATTGTTTTGTTCTCTTGTACATGGGGTTGCCGAGTTGGGCTGGCTTTGTAGTAGCTAACATCAGTCTTACATATGAAGAAACTGGCTCAGAGGCTGTTTCACTTGACTGAGTTTACATGCTACCTCTCACATGAAATGAGCATAGGTTTGACTCTGAAACTTTCCATTTTTAACCATTAGCATTTATTCTATTTATTCTAGCCCCTTAGCTGTCCACTCTGGAGATAAGACTCCAACTCTATTGTTGGTCCTTGGGGAGGTTCCCTCTCTATGGTCCCGTTTCCTTAACACACTTCTCCAGCTTGGGCATGATATAGTAATGGCTCTACCATCTGTCAGGTTGTCAGACTATGGTAGCTTGCATGTTGCTATGATGCTGGAGCTATGTCCTGGTATTTCAAATGCCAGCAGGGTCACCCATGGTGAACAGATTCAGCAGAGCTTCTGGGCTAATAAGATAGTCTAGGAGGAAGAATGTGGTAGTTCACTTCTGAAACAAAACTGGCCACTGAAAACCTTATGAATAGCAATGAAATATCTGATACAGTGCCGGGAGATGAGTTCCTCAGGTTGGAAGGCACTCAACATACAACTGGGGAAGAGCTGCCTTCTCAAAGTAGAGTGCACCTTAATGACATGGATGGAGTAAAGCTCTGGGACCTTCATTTGCTGATGTGACACGACTCAAAATGAGCTGAATACAATAATTAATAATCAAAACATGGAATATACAAAGTATGAATCTAGGAAAACTGTAAGTTATTAAAAATGAAATGGAATGCATAAAGATTGATATCCTAGGCATTTGTTAGCTGAAATTGGCCATTTTGAATTGGATAACTGGAGGAAGAGAAAATGACTGTGCTGGGAGTGACAAATTGAAGAGGAATGGTGTCGCAGTCATTGTCCAAAAAAAATTTCAAGATCTATCCTGAAGCACAGTGCTGTCAGTGATAGGATAATATCCATACATCTACAAGGAAGACCAGTTAACATTTTAATTATTCAAATTTACATACCAACCACTAAAGCCAAGGACGAATTGGAAGATTTTTACCAACTTCTGCAGTCTGAAAGTGACCAAGCATGCAATTAAGATGTATTGATAATTACTGGTGATTGAAGTGCAAAAGTTAGAAACAAAGACACATCAGTAGTTGGAAATTACGGCCTTCATAATAGAAATGATGCCAGAGATGGCATGACAGAATTTTGCAAGACCTACAACTTACTCATTGCAAATACCTTTTTTTCAATAACATAAACAGCAACTATACACATGGTCCTCGCCATATGGAATCCACAGGAATCAAATTGAGTACATCTGTGGAAAGAGGCGATGGAGAAACTTATCACCAGTCAGAACAAGGTCAGGGGCTGACTGTGGAACAGACCATAAATTACTCATATGCAAGGTCAAGCTGAAGCTGAAGAAAATTAAAATAAGTCCATGAGCCCAAAATATGACTTTGATTATATCCCGCCTGAATTCAGAGACCATCTGAAGAACAGATTTGACACACTGAACACCAATGACCAAATGAGTTGTGGGATGACATCAAGATCATCCATGAAGAAAGCAAATGGTCATTAAAAAGATAGGAAAGAAGAAAAGACCACAATGGATAATCAGAAGACTCTAAAACTTGCTCTTAAATGGAGAGTAGCTGAAGCAAATGGAAGAAATGATGAAACAAGAGCTGAACAGAAGATTTCAAAGAGCAGCTCAGGAAGACAAAGTAAAATATTATAATGAAATGTGCAAAGATTTGGGAGTTAGAAAACCAAAAAGGAAGAACACACTTGGCGCTTCCCAAGCAGAAAGAAGAAAAAATTCAAGCCTTGAGTTGCAATACTGATGGATTCTATGGGCACAATACTGAATGATGCAGGAAGCATCAAAATAACATGGAAGGAATAGTCACTGTACCAAAAAGAATTGGTCAGTGTTCAACCATTTCAGGAGATAGCATACGATAAAGGACCAATGATACTGAAGGAAAAAGTCCAAGCTGCACTGAAGGAATTGGCAAAAAACAAGGCTCTAGGAATAAATGGAATACCCATTGGGATGTTTCAACAAATGGATGCAGTGCTGGAGGTGCTCACTCTTTTATAAGAAATTCAGAAAACAACCTGGACATGACCGGAAATCCATATTTGTACCCATTCCAAAGAAAGGTGATCCAACATAATGTGGAAATTATCAAACAGTATCATTTATATCACATCCAAGGAAACTTTTGCTGGAGATAAGTGAAAAATTATTGCAGCAGTACACAGACAGGGAACTACCAGAAATTCAAGCTAGATTCCAAAGAGGATGTGGAACATGGGATATCACTGCTGATGTCAGGTGGATCTTGGCTGAAAGCAAATACCAGAAAGATGCCTGTATTTTATTGACTATGCAAAAGCATTTGACTGTGTGGATTATAACAAATTATAGATAACATTGCCAAGAATGGGAAATCCAGAACACTTAATTGTGCTCATGGGGAACCTGTACACCTATCAATCAACAGGCAGTTGTTTAAATAGAACAAAGGGATACTGCATGGTTTAAAGTCATGAGAAGTGTGCCAGGGTTGTATCCTTTCACCATACTTTCTCATTCTGTATGTGGAGCAAATCTGAGAAGCTGGACTTGATGAAGAATGTGGTATCAGGATTGTAAGACTCATTAACAACCTGCAATATACAGATGATACAACCTTACTTGCTGAAAGTGAAGATGACTTGAAGCACTTCTGATCTTCAAGATGACTTGAAGATCAGAAGACTACAGCCTTCAATATAGATTACACCTCAACATTAAAAAAATAAAAAAATCCCCACAACTGGAGCAGTAAGCAACATCATGATAAATGGACAAGTTTGTAGCTGTCAGGGACTTCATTTTCTTGGATCCTCAATGTCCGTGGAAGCAGCAGTAAACAAATCAGATGACATACCACACTGGGCAAATCTACTGAAGACTTCTTTAAAGTGTTAAAGAGCAAAGATGTCACTTTGAAGACTAAGGTGCACCTAATCTAGCCATGGTTTTTTTCAGTAGCTTCATAGCATGTGAAATCTGGACAGGGACTAAAGACAACCACAGAATAATCGATGGGCTTAAGCATAGCAAGGATTTTAAGAATGGCACAGGACTGGGCAGTTTTGTTCTGCTGTGCTAAAGGTTGCTGTGAGTTGGAACCAGTTTGATGGCACTGAATAACCACCATTTTATGGTGTACCTATTATGTATCAGGCCTGGTGTGAAGTACTTTACAAAATTTACAATCCCCACAACCACCCTGTACAGTGGAGGATGTTTGAGGCTAAGAGAGATCAGGTAACACCCAGCTGCTGTATGGCAGAAATGAGTGGCTTTGAATCTGCTGATGAGACAATGTGGCTATAGAGCTTTAGAGCCAAATTAACTACAAGGTCTGATATTTATGATATAAATAACTAGAAGCCAAGTCTTGGCAGGGCAGAGCTTGGTGGGGGTGGTGTGTCAGTGTGTTGAGGTCTGGGCCGTCTCTCCTTGCAGGGTGCCCATGGAGATGCGGTCATCCTGGGCATGTCCAGCCTGGAGCAGCTGGAGCAGAACTTGGCGGCAACTGAGGAAGGGCCCCTGGAGCCTGCTGTCGTCAATGCCTTTGATCAAGCCTGGCACTTAGTTGCTCATGGATGCCCTAACTATTTTCGCTAGACTCAGACCTGACTTAGGTGCAGATGGCATCCTTTTACCCCAGACATTTTTGCCTTAACTGTATTAGCCTGACCTTTCCTCATCACTGTAGTTTACAACTTTTCACTTTAAAAATTTTTTTTAAGAGCTTGTTTTACATTCAACATAATGTGTACATTTAGTTTCATTCCCCATTTGCCATGTCCAACCCTAACCCAGTCTCCTCCCCTCCCTACCCAGTAACCCTCCTCCCATGCCCCTCATGTTCATGCAATCCCGTTTGTCCTGCATTTCCTCAATTTGAATGTTGGTCCTCTGGTGTCCCATCGTCTATTGCTCTAAGGGATGTATTACCACAGAGTAGGTGGGTGTGTAATCCTGGGTTGTCTGCGTGTAAATCTTGTTAACTATTGGGCTGCGAGCCCACCCCTGGGGGTGAGTTTTACTCCAGGCGCAGAATGTATTCCAGGGCCACAGTATTGGGAGTCTCACCAGATTTCATCTGACCAGTAATTCTGGTCATTACTGAGTTTTTGGATTTTGTTCCACATTTTCCCTCCCATTCTATCCAGGATCTCCAGATTTGATCCTTTCGTGAGTGGTTGGCATTGGCAGCCGAGCACCATCTAGTTCTTCTGGTCTCGAGGGCCATCGTGTCCTAGGGCTGATTGCTTCTAACTGCCCCCCCCCTTTTTTTGCGTTCTTCACTTCTGATGCTAGGAGACCATTAGCTGCATCTTACATGACCGCTTGAAAGCTTTTAAGACCCCAGTTGCTACTCACCAATGTAGGATGTGGAGCAACACTTTTATGCATTTTGTTATGCCAATTGAGTCTGGCAGCTGTCCCCCAGTACTATGACGCCTGAGGCAGGAGATCTATTGGATCTCTCTCCCATATTCCTGCAATGCTTTACAATGTAAAAGTCTGGGGCCAGCTCTACCTGGGCACTTACTGTCTGAATAAAACAGGCACTGGCCTGGAACAAACCTGGTGCATTTCTTTCTTTAGCTGCCTGTTTCTCATGCTTGCTAAGGGTTTGGTGAGAAGTATGAATCTGAGTCTTCAGAGAACAGTGAGTGGGATGGCCTCCTGGGCACACTACCTGAACTCAGCCTGACCTCAACACTGGACTCTCCATGACAGAAAAACAGAGAGCCACACACTTGGAAGGAGCCTCAACTAAGTACTTAGAAGTGGAACCATTTGGGAAGCCTATCATTAGAGTTACCACAGAGAATACGAGTGAACCCCTGCAGAAAACTGTGAGCTGTGGAGAGCATCCTCTATTTCAGCTCCAGCAGTGCCTTTTCTCTTGGTTCAGCTCAAGCCTCCTGTCTTCTCCTTGCCTCTCACAGATTCTCAGCCTGGCTTTTTGGGAGAAAAAGGAAGGAGGAACAAGGGAGGAAGGGTGCCTATTTTCCTTAGACACCCAGGGCACCCTGGGCTGGAGGAGAGAACCCCCAGCCACAAAGCAGCTATAGTCACGGTGGTCAGGCAGCAGCCAGTGTTGGAAGCTGGTCACGAGGCAAACAGGAGCCCTGGAAGCCACACAAAAATCACAAATCCAAAGGCTCCTTTTTCTAAGAAAAGTTCCTTTTGCCGTCCACAGGGAGAAACCCTGCAGATGTTTTATTCTTTATAGAAACATAGTCCATTCTACCCTCTCTTATCTTCATCTGTAGCAAAATAAATAGCTGCTCCCTCAAGCAGGGTGATAGGGGTCCTGCCTGGCTGGCTGAGGGGAGGCCTCTGTCCTGAGCATCCCAGTCAGTCATCGTCATCTTCCTCTGACTCTTCCGCTGACTCAGGCGCACTCTCTGGCAAGTCCTCGCCCATCTGTTCAAACCTTCCAGACTGTGCATCCCACATGTATTTGATGGTCACCTTGAATTCAGCCATCTCATACCCAAAAAGCTTCTGCAAGAGAGGAGAGCCAAGAGTTGTGGAAATGAGTGCCACCAGAAGCTTGAGTGAATGTTTACAGCAGAGCCAAGCAGCAGTCCCTCCCTCCACAGCCCCAGCCATGGGACGGAGCCCTCACTGGAAAAGACTCACCAGGACGCGGGCCTGCTCCGGGGTCAGCACATCACCCTCTTTGCACACTTCATAGTCAGACAGCAAGGTCACCACACCTGCAGGGGTGGGTGGCCCCAAGTGGTCACATCTGGCACAGAGGACTGCACAGCATTTTGTAACACTACTTTGAGGTGGACAGAATTTGGCTGGCCACTTGTCCTCCCTGCAATGCTCACACACACTAGGCCAAAGGCTTCCTCCCTCAACATCCCTAACTGCTGGATTCTGGGTGTAAATTACTGCACACTGCCATCCCCAATCTTAAGATGGGCACTTCTGTCACTGTTTTCAAAGGAGAAGATGGAGGCTTGTGGAAATAACTGCTCAGCAGAAAGGAGGGTGGGGCTGGTAGGCTTGAAGTCGATGCTCTCTGCTCTCAGCCCTTAGGCTTTGCCTCTACCTTCCAGCTCTCCCTACCCCCACTCCCCTTACCTTTCTTTAGAGTGGTAGGCAGGCCCAGCTGTCTGAGCTGGGGCTCCATGGAGTGGGGGAACTGCTCCAGGGCCCCGGGATCCAGGCTCACTGTGAAAGTTGCTTTGTTACCAGCTCGGGCGTAGTCCATTTCCGTGAATTTAGTGAACCAGCTTACGGGAAGGACAAGTAGTCTGTGGTGAGATTCCTGATTGGACCACCAGCCCACCTGAAGTCAGGTTCCCCCCAAAGTGCACGTGGTCCTAGGTCTCCCTTCCTGCTTTGTCCATCTCAGCAGCTGGCCTGGGAAAGCTCTTTGACCAGAGGTGCCCACCACTGTCCCCCTTTCTGACTAGGGTACTGTATTGACAGAACAAAGACGGCCCTGGTCAGAACCCACTAGTCTCAGTTAACATGGTTCCAGGAGCCAGCTCACACTTGATGCCTCCACATTGCACCAAGTCCCCAGATCACTCCTTCTCTGAATGCTCGCCAACCTTTCTCTTCCTGCCGTTCCTCAAAAGTACTTACTCATTTACTTCTTCCTTAGTGCGATTGGTGAAAAGAAGACCAACTTCACCCCTTAGCTTCTTGCTAACCTACAAAACAAAGGAGAGGCTGGTTTGGTCACAGGCCAGTGGTTCTCAACCGGGAGGTAATTTTGCCCCCCAGGGGACATTTGAAGACATTTTTTGGTTGTCATAGGTAGGGCAAGGGTGCTAGTCTCGGGGTCTGGAGGTTAAGGGAGAACATAGAGCTTTAATCTAGGCCTTGCTCTCCCTGGTCCCTGGCCAGGCCAGGTTATCTGGAGCCTGTCATCTGAGAGCAGCAGCAGCAGAGCAGCTTGGCTTTGGGAACTATTACTGCAGACGAGCAACTCACCTGATGCAGGTTATCTTTGTACTCATCAGACGGGCTTCGACCCAAGGCCACCATCATCACCTTGTTTTTGCCAAAGAACATCCTGCCAAAAAATGGGGGACCAATGGAAGAAGTGTCTTACTAGCCTCCCCTCAGCTAAAGGAAACCAGCTGCAGCCCAACAGGAGCTTGTGAGCCAAAGCCCAGGCTGTTACAGAGGGGGTTCACATTCTTCCCCATTCCCTGTCCATCTGTCTACAAGTTAGGGTCCCCTTCAGTATTTCCCCATCCCTACACACTGACACTCCCAACATCTGGTCTCCCAAAACACTCCCCTGTCTGGATATATGAAGAGGCATGCTTAACAGTCTGAATCAAAGCTGGTCCACCAGATGGCTGGAGCCATCACCTGCAATTGTCAAAAATTTCTGCTCTCAGGTCACTGTCTGTGCCTTAGCATATACACAGATATTCTGAGGTGATATTCCTAAAAGGACCAGATCCCAGGGTTAAAGGAGCCACTTTTCCCAAAGAGCCACTGCTCAAACATTTCCTGCACAACTACCAATCCCAGCTCTTGAGAGGCTCAGGGGCCAATCAGCTTTAAAAGCTATGAAGTGCTCTTCAGCAGGGGTGTGGCATTCTGTTATTGCTGACACCCCGTCTGTGACTCAGGTACGTACCAGAGGGTCACAACTGCTCCTGTACTGACCGCAAGCACTTGCCCGCTTCCCCCGCTGGTCCCTCTTCCCACTGCGTGCTCACCGGCTGTGCTTCCAGGCGTTCCGGATGTCCTTCAGCTTGCTATTCCTCATGTTGGCCACAGAGAAGATGAAGAGGTACTTGTACATGTCCACACATTTCCGAAGCTGTAGGACAATTCATGGGGCTCTGGAGTCAAGGGGCAGCATGGATTGGACAATACTCTGGCCTCGGGGGAAGGAATCTGCTTGAGGTCCCTCAGTACTGTGGAAGCTTAGAGCCGGAGTCCTCTAAACTGGTGGTCTCCTGCTCCATTAATGAAACTAGGATCACTAACAGTAGGGGCTCCCTAGAGGCAAAGCAGGTGTGAGCTCAAAGCACAGGGGCAGGTGAGCCGTGGCTCAAGATCACATGGTCTTTCCCAGGCTCTGACCTATCTATGGCCACAAGTAGCATCATCCACCTCTGTTTTGTCCATTAATTATTAACCTAGAAACACATCCATACTGGGAAGACTCCACTTAACTGAAATACAGAGCAACGTTATTTACTTAAGAGACAAGGTGGCTTATGGGGTCTACTCTATTTATGCTACTGGTAGCGTAGTGCCTAAGGCACTTGACTGCTAACCAGAAGGCTGGCGGTTCAAACCCACCAGCCACTGCTTGGAAGGAAGATGGGGCAATCTACTTCCGTAGTGATACTGCCTCAGAAACCCAAGGAGGGGTTGCTATGATTTGGGTCCGACTCGATGGCACATAGCAACTATTATGCTACAGCCATCAGGAGTTGGTCTCAAGGAAACAGAATCTTTGTCCAGAAGACTCTGCTCCCACCCAGCCTACACTCCAGAAGCAGCGCAGTGGGTTGGTGAGGAGTACAGCTTCGTAGTTACCCACACCTGGTAACTCCCTACCTTTTTGACATTGGACAGGCTAAGTAAGCGTCATTTACCTCAACGGCATAACAGCTAGTATCTAGTATGTCAGAACAGCATGAAACACAAAAACCTTTGGTGTACCTAAACCACAATAAAATATTAAAAACATAAAGATAACAAAACTAAAACTTTAACCGCTGGGCAAGTGCAGGGCACACAGAAAGAGCTCAATCAAAGCCAGAAATCATCACCTTGGTGGTTATTATTGGTGGTGGTGCTGCTGCTGTAGGAAAATTGTAGGATCAGCAGCTTAGTTTTATATATATATATATATATATATATATATAAACAGTATGTCCCCTAATCAACAGTGCCACATCCAACCCTAAAAACCAAACACAAGCGCTGGAAAAATATGATGGACAATAGCATCTCACCTCTTCTATCAGGTTCTGTTTCAATTCCAAGCCTTTCTTGGCAGTTTTGGTTAAGGAAACTAATAAAAAGGGGGGAACAGAAAAAAAAAAAAGAGAGAACTTATAAGAGACAAATCTGGATGGCCCTGAAGACTTATTTTCTTTGCCCTTTGTAGCCCAGCTGAGAGCTGGCTCAGCTGTACTAAGCAGCTGAAGAAAGGCAGTCAGGCCTTTGGCTGGTGGCCATCATTTCTGGTATGCAAGGCTGTTCCCAAGGTCTGTGGAGTGCCTCTTCTCTAATATTCCTGAGCCTGAAAATCCCTTGGTATGCTTCCTGTTACTTAGACAAACCAGGTGTTCCACAGCTCTTCTTAGGCTCGCCTACAAATCTCCACGAGGCGTGGAGGCGAGGTTTGCTCCTGCTCTTGCTCTCCTGGCACATCCAGCCTATGGCTGCGGCAGATCTTTTCTGCTTTTGACCATGGTGCACACAGACCACCTATGCCTGGCCTACGATGGGTAATGATGAGGGTGTTAAGACTGCATGTTCTGCTACATCCCCACACTCAGTCTGGCAGGCAATCTGACCTACGGATATAGCCATGCCTTGTGGGGGAACTGGGGCTGATACATCTATTGTAACAACAGTTGGTACCCAATCTGCCCCCACCCAGAAGACTGTGGCATTTGCCAGAGCTGACCAGTCCCTCCTCCACAGTATTAAATGATCCCACAGACACTTAACAGAGCACCAGGTGCAAAGCCCTGGGTGACCCCACGAATGGCCTGCCTCTAATGGATTCAACCTGACACTCAAAAGTAGACATGCCTTCTTCACAGGACAAACACAGAGAAACACAATCACACCAGTCAGTGGTAGTGCAGCAAGGGACCCAAAGAATCCAAACCCTCTGCCACTGAGTTGATTCCAACTTATAGTGACCCTAGAAAAACAGAGTAAAACGGCCCCGTAGGGTTTCCAAGGCCATAAATCGTCATGGAAGCAGAGTGCCTCATCTTTCTTCCATGAAATGGCTGACAGGTTCGACCACCAACTTTTTGGGCAGCAGCCAAATGCTTTAACCACTATGCCACCAGAGCTCCTTGTGCAGGAAGGGAGGGTCCACACAACAAAGCTGGCCACTTCTCATCATCTCCACTGCTGTAACTTTGGTCCAAGCCAGCATCACCCTCTCTTGGATTACTGCTCATCTCCTGCTTCCTTCCTTACCTGTCTCCCACCTTCCTTCCCCAAGTCTGTCCTCAACAAAGTAGGCAGAAGGATCCTTCAAAACTAAAGGTTAATCACATCACTCCTTTCCTCAAAGCCCTCCAATGGCTCTCTCTTTCACCCAGGCATGAAGCCACTTCCTCACAAGGCTTATAAAGCTTTGACCACTCTGCTTCCCCTTCACCTCCCACTCTTGTTCACATCACTCCAGCACACTCCAGAAAAAGCCAAGCATGCTCCTGTTTCAGGGCCTTTGTACTTTTTGTTCCCTCTACAAGGAACAATGTTCTCTCAGACAACTCACTGGGTTGCTCACCTCTTTTCCTCAGGTGTCTGCTCATTAGAGAGATCTTCCCCAACACACTAAGCAAGGTAGCATCACCATCACCTCCCTTTCACTGCACTTTCCCCCCACCCACGGGGACTCAACATTATCTGATAAATAAATGTACTCAATTTTTGATATGCTTCCCTTTCATGTTAAGCTTGATAAGGATTAGGCCTTCCCTGTTGTAACCACCGTATCTCCCAATACCTAGAAAGTGCCAGGTATGTGCTGTTGTGTTGCTGTTAGATGCCACTGAATTGCTCCCAACTCACAGTGACCCTATGTACAAAAGACAGAAACACTGCCCCTTCCTGTCTCATCCTCATGATCGTTGCTGTTTGAGCCCATTGTTGCAGCCACTGTGTCAATCCTTATTGTTGAGGGTCTTAAGTCTTTTTTACTGACCCTCTACTAAGCATGATGTTCTTCTTCAGGGACTGGTCTCTCGTGGTAACATGTCCACAGGCCCCTAAATATTTGTTGAATGCATGAATACGAAGACCTCTACCATAGTAAGAGTAACAAGAATAGTCTCTTAGAAGGTGACAACGGAGAAGGAGCCAGTTATATGACGATCAAGTCATAAACAAGCCAGGCAGAAGGGATTGTTAAGGGCCAGACGCGGGAATAGGCCTGTGCTGAAGGAAGGGAAAGGCGGCCCGGGTGACCGGAGAGCAGACAGCGAAGGGAGGTGGGCAGGGGCTGAAGTGCGAAAAGCAGGTCCACGAGAGACTAGGAACAGCCTGGGTTCTCAGATGTTTTCTAACCTAGTCAGTCTTGGAAGAGCACTTAAGGCCAAGCAAAACAGTCGCTGGTTCTTTGACCTAACAAGCTCAAGCCCCCTCCGATGCTCCAGCCACTCCGAGGTCCCCATCCCAGCTGTCAGCGAGCCCGCGGAGCTCCTCGCAGAGGTCCCAGTGTCCCCTTCTCTATACGCCAGCCATTCGGAGGCCCCCACCACTGCTGGCATCTAGGCCCCGGAACTCCTCTACAGGTCCCGTCACTCCCTTCACCCACCTTTCTTGTCGCGCTTAGATTTGGGCATCTCGCTAAATCCACGTGCGGCTGAAGATAGAGCTTCCTGTTAGGACTTCGGCGGCGCGGGGCCTTCTGGGACGGTCTTCTCGGGGACTGCCCTGACGCGTGCCTGACCCAATCTGCTCTGAGACGCTCCTTTTCTGCCGACCTGCCACCTGCGCTTCTCCTGGCGTCTGTGGGGTGACTTCTTGCACGTCCGGGCGGCCTCCAACTCTCAAGCGCTTCCCGAAAGTCTCTCGAGCAGGTTCAACTCTATGGCTCTGGGGGGCGGAGCCTGCGGCCCAGGGCATGCTGGGGCGGCGGCGGGCTGTGCTTGGGTTCCTATCATGGTGGTGGCTTTGGTTTCCCGTTTCTGGCTCTGGACTTTGTTACTCATCCCGGCGGCCGCGGTATATGAAGACCAAGTGGGGAAGTTTGATTGGTTCGTACCTGTGGGGTCTATTCATTAAGCATGTGACTATTTTCCCAGCACCTGTTTCCCACTTGCTAAAGAGAAGAGGGTTACTATCCAGAAGGACACTTATATATATTTTGTGGGGACTCAGTGCAAAGTTAAAATATGGGGCCTCCTTTTCAAAAATTACTAAGGTGACCGCAGAGCATTAAACCAAGCATGAGGCCTTTCTCAACCTGTGTGACCATTTATGTCGCACGCGCGTGAAGCCGGCCCTGCCATCCAGGAGTGCTTGGAGCTGTGTTCAGAAGTCACTAATTCCTCCTACTCCATTTCTGATTCATTCCCACCCTTCCTCGGACTGGCATCTCCTTGGCATGTGAACGGGATTTGGGTCTTAGGAATCCCAAACGGAGTCCATTCTCCCCTCCCAGCTTTGCCCTGGGTTCAGAGCAGAGCCCCCTAAAGTTCTCAGCCAGGAGATGCCATTCATTCACAAACTCCCACTACCCCTTATCCTTTCCGTAAGGCCTTGGGGCAGCTTGGTTTTGTTCCAATTTAGATTTTGCCTATACTGCTGGGTGCCTGGATGTTTTTAGGTAAAACTTCCCTTATGCAGTAGTTGTGAGGATGAATGAAGTAATCCCTTTAAATTACTTTGCACATTGTCTGGACCATTACATGCAGTCATTACATGTTCCCCATTACTACTACTTCAGGGAACACATCCTTAAGAGCCCAGCTCAGATATGTTCTTTGTGAATTCTTTTCTGTGTCAGATTGATTCATATGTTTGTTGAGTGCCTGCTGCATGTCAGGTATTGTCCTAGGTGCTGTGGATACAGAGATAGGTAAGCAGCTAGTGGGACAGAAGGATATATTGGTATGATTATAAGACAGTGTGACAAATGCAGTGTATTTAACAGTTTTAATGATGTGGGCAAACTTTTACAACCTCATGTGTACATTATGCATGTCTTGCATTTATGGCATAATTTCAATTTGCTATTCCAAAAACCAAACCAAACTCACTGCAATTGAGTTAATTCCTACCCATAGGGACCCCCACTGAGGTTCCAAGGCTGCAAATTTTATGGAAGTAGATCATCCCTCTTCCTTCCACAGAGTTACTGGTGGGTTTGAACCACTCACCTTTTGATTAGCAGCCAAGTGCCTTATCCATTATGCCACTAGAGCTCCTTTAACAGACATTCCAAAAAACCAAACCAAACTCATTGCTATCGCGTCGGACCTGACTCATAGCAACCCCTCCTTGAGTTTCTGAGGCAGTATCACTACGGAAGTAGATTGCCCCATCTTCCTTCTGAGGAGTGGCTGGTGGGTTTGAACCGCTAGCCTTC